GGGGGGGGAGAGGTTAATGGAATTCTTCATTGCCTCATGCACTCGCTAATAGGCCTATATAATGTATGGCCAGCTAACAGACTTCTAACAAACTCTGATCGTCTTGCACGATCTCTTGATAGAATACAATTATTCTTCATGACGTGGATGTTGCATATACATAAATTTGACGGGCGGTATTATATACGTGATGTGTGTAGTGCTCTGGGCTGAGACTTGGGCCTGTTGGGCCTGAGTCGCACCATCTGGGCTGGCTTCCCTACTGGACCTAACATTCCCTCCTTCAAGAATGACCTTGTCCTCAAGGTCAAGGGTGGGGAACTGCTTCTGAAGTTGATCATGATCCTCCCATGTGGCATCTTCTTGAGGTAGGCCATGCCAAATGACTAGAGCCTGTTTATAGACTTTGTTGCCATTTCGAACCTAACGAAGATCCTTAATCATCAGAGGTTCGAATAGTACTTCTCCCGTTTCTGTGAATTGAGGAAGGGTGGGGTTGATAACATTTGTGGAAGCCAAGCAAGGCTTCAGAAGGCTGACATGGAAGATAGGGTGCAATTTGCATTCTGTAGGTAAGTGGAGGCGGTAGGCGACAACCCCAATTCGCTTTGCCACCTGAAATGGGTCGAAGTATCTTGGCGATAACTTCTGGGATGCCCTCTGTGCAAGAGATGCCTATCTATAAGGTTGGAGCTTTAGATAGACCCAGTCCCCAATAAAAAATTCTAATTCCTGATGCTTCTTATCATAGGCTAACTGTATATGTTGTTGGACCTGTTGTAAATGGAATTTGAGGAGCTTAAGCGTGCTATCTCTCTCCTGTAATTGTGCCTCAACCTCGGCTACAGGTGATGTGCCCAGTTCATAAGGCAAGATGGATGGAGGATCACATCCGTAAAGCACTTTGAATGGAGTCACTCCGATTGAGATCTGGAACGTGGTATTATACCAATATTCGGCCCATGGTAGCCATTGGGCCCATTGTTTGGGTCTATCAACCACAAAGCACCTCATGTATGTTTCCAAACAATGGTTGACTACTTTAGATTGTCCATCCGTCTGAGGATGGTAACTGGTGGGGTGCATCATCTTAACTCCTTGAGCTGTGAAATAGGCCTTCTAGAAAGTACTCATGAAGAGAGGATCCTGGTTTGTTAAAATAGAGTGGGGCGTTCCGTGGAGTTTGGCCACTTCTTTGATGTAGGCCTGGGCCACTGTGGTTGCTGAGTAAGGATGGGAGAGGCCTATAAAGTGCGCATACTTAGTTGGTCTACCACTACTAACACCACTGATTTCCCTTGGGACGTGGGTAACCCAATTACAAAATCCATGGTAACTTCTTCCCACACTCCCTCTGTTATGGGTAGAGGTTGCAATAACCCTGCCGGAGTCTAAGTGCTATATTTTTGCTATTGGCAAGTAGCATATCAGGCAAGAAATTCTTGTACCATTTGTTTCATACCCTTCCAATAATAATGGGTTGCCAAGTGTTTATAGGTGCGGAGAGCTCCAGAATGACTTCCTTGGGCCGAGTCATGGAATAGCCGAAGTAATTCCTGATGATACTTGGACACTTCTGGCACCACCATATGGCCTTTGTAGAAGAGAGTACCATTCCTGACTGTGTACCCTGAAGTCTATGAAAAGCCTCAAGGATTTGGGCCCGGATTTGAGTCAGATGTGGGTCATCATGGGCCTCCTATCTCAGTTGGTCAGATAAAGGGTAATTCAGTCGTGACAAGGCCATCACGTGAAGGTTATCGGCTCTGGAGAGTGCATCCGCCATCGCATTAGAGGGCCCAGGCCTGTACTCAATGACAAAGTTGAACCCCATTAACTTGTAGGCCCACATATGTTGGTCAGGGCCTAAAACTCGTTGTTCCAGTAAGTGTTTGATGCTGCAGTGGTCTGTCCTGACAATAAACCTTTGGCCTAGGAGGTATGCTCTCCATTTTTGAACCGCCAGAGTGATTGCCATAATCTCCTTCTCGTAAGTAGATTTAGCCTGAGCTTGAGGAGAGAGAGCCTTACTGAAATAGGCCAAGGGGTCGGCCTTGTTGCATTAGAACTGCACCTATTCCCTTACCTGAAGCGTCAGCCTCCACTATAAAGTCCAGGTTTGAAATCAGGAAGGGCCAAAGTAGGTGGGGTGGTTACTACTGCCTTTTTGAGTGCTTGAAAGGCTTCTTCGGCTTTTTGATCCCACTCGAAGGAATGCTTCTTTAGCAATTGAATGAGAGGAGCGGCAAGGACCCCATACCCTTTGATGGACCGGTGGTAATACCCCGTTAGCCCCAGGAACCCCTTGGGGGCCCGTGGAGAGTTGGGCCTGGCCCAGGTGATCATGCAGTC